GGGAGAGAGAGAGAGAGAGAGAGAGAGAGAGAGAGAGAGAGAGAGAGCACATACCAGGCACAGTCTGTGATTGGAGCATAGTGAAGCCCGGCAATAACTGCAATTGGCTGATCCGCCTGCGTATCGTAGAGGAAAAGGGAGTCCAGTGTTGCCACAGCAAAGACAAGCCTGTAGGGCAGAGCAAAGGTCTTCGGAGGTTCTCCTGGACAAAGCATAACAGAAACATAATCTTTAGATTAAAAAAAAAAAAAGATGACCAGAACAGACAGCAACTTTTATGGGTAGCAGACTGGACAATTTTCATCGAGACTTTTCACATTCATTATTTATTCATCTTTACTCATCCGTCAGCTTATCTATTTCATCCCTATTCCATTTCTTTTTCATTTCCTTTTCATTTCCATTTCACTTTTTTGACACTGAGAGACGTAAAAAGACATCCAGTTTTACTGAATCATCCACCTACACCTACTTAACATAGGCCAGGTATAATAGTTATTTTGGTTGAAGGAAAAACATTTCATTTATTCCCTTCCTTCCAGTGTTGCACACCCCGACGGCCGGCAGCCCTTGACTGGTTGGCTGCCAACCAGCCGACCGGTCAGCTGGTCGGCACCTGCCGGTCGGGGGTCGTTGGCACCCCGCAGAACCCGCAATAACCCCACCAACACCGAACCAACACCGCTGTCATGTCTGAAAACTGGCGCACGCGCGCGCGCGCGCGCGCGCGCGCGCGCGAGAGAGAGAGAGAGAGAGAGAGAGAGAGAGACAGAGAGAGAGAGAGAGAGAGAGAGAGAGAGAGAGAGAGAGAGAGAGCAAATAGCCCTTTAACATTAAAGGGAAAACCCCTACGGTTAATCATAGAGGGCCCTGCAAATAATTAGGAAGGGCCTCCTCTCCACGAAAGTGGCACTTCTCGAACACATTGCAGGGCAGCAGCACGCCAACTACATATGGTGTAGATTCGCATTAAGCAGTTACGGGAGCACGGAGCACGTGATTATCTGGGCAGTAGCAGGCCAACTCACCACGTGATTTTCAGGGTTTCCCTCCACTACTCACCAAATGTGCAAAATTAGAATGAACCTTCTGCTAGAACATGGAATCATACTCCGCCATATGTTTGGTCTTTTGTGCAAGTGGTGACGAGTGGAGCCAGGCCCTTCGGGCCACTGCTCGTGTAGGAAAAGGAAAACAAAAGAAAGACACAGAGAGCTAGGACGGTAAGTAGTTGTAGCCCATAACTGCTGGAACACAGACCTGAATTCGGATCCAGAAGATACATTGCTGGCCTGCTCCTCGCTCATCCGAAATTCGTCGAGTGTCTCCGCTGAGATATAAGAGCCCTGCAGATTCTCTGCTAGGGGCCCTTCAGAAAACAAGCTACATGCAATGAGGAAATCGAGGCCCTATTTTTTTTTTCTCTGCCCTCAAAATCTGTAGAAGCGAGGGACACGTCTGGCTACCTCAGCCATCCCCAATACCCATATACACCCCCTCAACACCTCCAAATCGCCCCCCAACATCCTCATTACCCCCTCCCTTCCCCCCCAATACCGCTATACCCCCCAGACCACCTCCTACCTCCCCGCATCCCAAAAAGTTCCTCAGCGGATTTGCGCAGTACTCAGCAAGGGCAGTGCATCCCCTGAATCAGACTTGAAAAAAAATCAGTTGATGCCACTTGATGGCTGTTTTCTGACTGGTCGGCAGACCGCGGACCGGTAGGCCCCACTGGTCGGCTGCAAAATGGTCCGCGGTCAGCAGGCATGCAACCCTGCTTCCTTCCGAATTGTTTACTTGATACTTATATACATTCACGTGTTTCAGGGGTCGTCCAGGGAGTGGGGGGGGGAAAGGGGAGGGAAGCAGTATCCCAAAAGGGCTTCCATCTTACTCATGCACCTTTTTGGTGTTACTTGAGTTGATCTTGGACTTCTGTGAATTAGAAAGCAATTAAAGCCTGTCGAGCACCATTGCAGTAGTGTCTGGTTGAAGCCTTACTGGTACCATGGGCCCTCATGCGAACTTGGGCTGCATTGAGTACGCGTACGTCAAGTCATGGACTAAAATCTAAGCCGAGTGGCGATACGGTGTACTTAAAAGGAGCTTCACTTCCGACCCACTCAATTCACGTACTGGTTAAGTGATCTACCTCTCAAACCACCAGTACATGGGCACCTGGGCCGTGGGCCTGACACCTCAAATTCTGGAAGCGCAAAACGCAAACGCCACCGCCAATCGAATTTATCGACGGCGGCCCCAGCGTTTGATGTTTCAGCCTCCTTTTCTTGTGGCAAGAAGTTTCGTGCTGCAACGCTGGGGCCGTGTACTTGTCGGTTAACCAATACCTGAAGTGAGTGGGTCGGAAGTGAAGCCCCTTTTCAGTACGCCATATAAAAAATGACGCACAGCCCACAAGTCCCCCTGACGTCAGAAACCTCCGGGGTACCGGTAGTCCCCCTGAGGTCAGAAATGTCGGGGGTACCGGTAGTATACAGTGGAAAACCGGTCAGGCCTGAAAAATGGAATTTGTGGAAATGCACCAAATCGGCGCGGCAGATATTTGACGGTCAAAATGATTTTATTTTTTTTTCTGATATATTTTCCCTGAAAGATCACGACCTAATCTACGGACCCTCAAATTTGCAGACCTTTTGATGAATTCTTCTGAGCACAAAAAATCGGCAAAGTTGCCGCTTGAAAATGGCGAGAGTGGACCCACTCGTGACGAATGGTCGCCATCCCTCCGTACAACCCGACCCTAACTCACAGGGACGGGGGTTTTCGGCGGCGGGGGGACTGGTGGTTTAAGGACCCCTGACACCCATATTACATCCATGCCTTGCTTGCTACTTCTCAACTTGATTCACAACTTAGCCTCTGCTTTTAGATGTTTGCAACTCTGAAGGATACTGTGCCAACAAATAGGAGCATTATGTTTTCCCCATAGGGAGATGGCAAGTGAAAGCAAATGGAAACCTCGCGAAACAGCGTACGGTCATTTTCACTGCATGTGGACTGAAAAGTGAGCCAAATACGGCTATAATGACCGTACGTCGGTAGTGGATTGTGCCTCGTCACTGATTAGCATATAAAACACTTCACTTTTGCTGTGTGCAGCATTAAGAGCAGTCCACACGTGGCAGACGATCACAACGACCTCCACCAAGTTGTGCTATTCTGCTGGCTGGTGCAAATCTGAGCTTGGTGTGCACTGATGCAATTCTATTTGCCTGGCAGCTTTCACCCCTGTGCGTACATGAGTAGGCCTCTGCCATTAACAAGGTCATTTCCCTCGTCGCACATCTGTCATTCATTGGTTCAGCTCCGAGCCTTTAGACTCTCCATCGACTCCAAGAATTCAGTTCTACTGCTTTTCCTTCTCCCAGGAGTTTCACCCTCAACCCCCCCCCTCTTTCCCCGCTTGACAATTCTTGTACCTTTTTTTTTTTTTCACCTAATAATCCTACCACAGGTTCACCTACGGAAACCTTGTTACGACTTCTCCTTCCTCTAAACGATAAGGGACAGGTTCAATGAACTTCTCACACAGCATCCCCAGCAGTAAACTGCTGGGATGACCACAACCCAGACACTTCACCGGACCATTTAGGGACGTAATCAGCACGAGCTGATGACTCGCGCTTAGTAGTGATTCCTTGTTGAAGATCGATAATTACAACAATATACCCCATCACAACCAACCTTGAGAAGGGTACCTGGGCTTCCGACACAGGCAAGCAACTCGTACGATTCATCAGTGTAGAGTGTGTCTGGTCCGTAACATCTAAGGGCATAACAGACCTGCTAAGAAGCTGGCCACGAGGAAAGGTCCCCACATACATCAGACAACAGTGACCATCCTTTTGAATGTCGTTGTTGCTCTGCATGCACTCTATGTCTGAGTTCACGGTTTTGGTTCTTTTTGACTGTAGAAAGGGATTCTACCAGGCACATGTGTAGGGGTTAGGGTTTATATGAATAGACTCCTACTAGTCCATAAGAGACTGGAATACACTATGATGTTCTTTTCTCTATACTCAATACTCTCGTACTTTGTAATAGTCTTTGGTAAATGTATGTAACCATAGTTACCTATGTACTATGCAATAGACTCCTCCCAGTCCATAAGAGACTGACCTTTGTGATAGTCTCTATGTACTATGCACTGTATCCACTGTATGCAGACTAAATGTATGTAGCCGTAGTTACCTATGTACTATGAAGACTATGTACTACCTAATAGACTGCTCCCAGTCCATAAGAGACTGACCTTTGTAATAGTCTCTAATGTCCCATGCATTGTATGCCGACTAAATAAATGTAACCGTAGTTAGTCTCTATGTACTACGCAGAGTCGCAGACTAAATATATGCAACTGTTGTTTACCTATGTACTATGCAGACTATGTACTATGTAATAGACTCCCCCCAGTCCATATGTACTATGCAGACTATGTACTATGTAATAGACTCCCCGCAGTATNAGACTCCCCGCAGTATGTACTATGTAATAGACTCCCCCCAGTCCATATGTACTATGCAGACTATGTACTATGTAATAGACTCCCCCCAGTCCATAAAGAGACCGACAATTGTGATAGTCTCTACGTACAATGCAGACTAAGTGTATGTAACCGTAGTTAGTAGTTACCGTAGACATCTAAATTATTCAGTGGGCAGTGAGATGCACGCTTCTTGCCCTTTCCGACCCCATGCCTTACGGCCATCCCTCCCATGATCTTTACTCAGACTGCAGTTGGTTTCTCTTGTATTTCGTTTCCACCCCACCCCCAAACCCTTTCTCTCTTCCTTATTGCCCATTTCAACATCGACAATGCCTCAAACAACCATTCACAATTCATCTCTCTGTTCATCTGACTGCAAATGGATTCCAACTGCAGTCTGTATTTCAACAGTTCGTGGGTGTACCAACGTCACAACTCATCTCAAGTCGTGCCTCCACTCTAAGTTCATGGCCACACCTTTTCGATTGTTGTCTGCTGCTATCGCCATGCTAGGAGACTGAGGAGCTGGCGCAAAAAACACGGGGCAGAAACGAATTACCACAACTGCCTTTGGATGACCTGGAAGGATAAATGCCGGCCTGAACCACAATAACCCCGAGCCAACAAAACAGCAAATCCGCAAAAGTCAAGACAGATGAGCACTCAGCACAACCAAAAAGCTGAACACGGTGCACAAACCAGATCATGGCACTCCAAACGAGGACAGAAATGAATGTCAGAAACACGAGGACAGAAATGAACGTCTGCAAAGCAAGAAAAGTGAATCTCTAGAAAAAGCCAAAACCAATGTGGGCATCGACAAAAAAGCAGGTCTTGAAAACAAAAGTGAATGTCTAGAAAAAATGAATAATACTATAAAGTTAGTATAAACTAATATAAAGTGAATGTGTTAAAAAAGCACGTCCGCAAAACAAAACAAAACAAAACAGAATGGCATGCAAGTGGCACACAGGAGGTCGTGGGTTCGATTTCCCATGAAATCTATTCGATTCCCGGCGACCCCATGTGGTATACTTCGGGTTCACCGACTGGTAAAGTCGGATTGTCACTCCTGGCTGGTTGTGGAAGATTTGAAACTTTACTTTCCAGCCCGTGCCAGGTGTTAGGAGCTTGGATGCTGCTCCCACACAGGGCAGAGTTAGATAGGAACAGAGTCAACAGACCCATGACCTTAGGATAGCTTAGGCACATTTGCTACTGGAAGGCGGACTCCTAATATAGAGAAATCGCTTCCTCCTGAATCGAGGGAACCCATTAGGTAGGTAGCTCGGGTGAGATAGACACAAGATTGAGAGAAGAAAATAGGGCAGTAGAAAAAACTACAGCTTGTCCCCCGCAATAAAAGAAAACACAATAGTCTCAAGAATCTAGACAAGAAATCGCAGACGAAACAAGCAAATCATTCAGCAAAAGATTCGTTTGCAAGGGAATATATACCGTCATATATATATATATCGTCATATATCGTCACAAAAAGAACTGCCCGGTAAACCGTAGGCAGAGAGAGAGAAGAGGAAAACAAACGAGGGGTTGTGACAAACTGTTTCGCCGGAGTTTATATATATAAATGGATAAAAAAGTTCAAAAAAACTATGCGTTTACAGAATAATTGTGCACACTGGAGGTGACATACAGAACCAAAAAGAAAACGACTTGAAAACAGAAAGACAGTCCAGGGGGATGCTAGCAAGAAGCACGGTGGACACAGTGGTGGTATGTGAGGGAGAGGAGGGGTGAGAAGGACACTACCTGCCATTCCGATCTGCATCCAGGCGAAGGGACTTAATGTGGGACCCCTGGGAACGGGAGTTGCCCCCTCAGAGAGGATACACAGGAAAGCTACACCATTACAAGGCCTGACCACGAAGAATATCTACAACTCGCTGTTGGAACCGGTGGATATCTGTGGGACCTGAGGAACCGACAGGGTAAGAGGGGCTGGCTCCCGGACGTGTACATTAACAGGTGGATGCAGCACAGATGGAACGAGCAGAATGCCATTCGTGCAGGCCTGCCTGATCAAAAGCAGGTGGGGGACTGCTAAGACAGATCTATCACCTGACCATCCCGACAGCGCAACGGCAAGCAACAAAGAGCCAGTACAAGGACCAGACATGCGCAGCAGGGTGCGGCCAGGTGGAGACCGTGCCTCATGTCTTTGTGCAGTGCCCGGTGGCCTGGGGCTTCTGGGAATGGTGGGCGCACGAGATTGCAGACAGATCGCCGATGGACATCAGTGATATCCCCTTAGGGGCACTAATGAAGGTGGGCAGGCAGAGACCCGAGGGCCTGATGGCAGCAGAAACAATACGCGCTACAGTACTGAGGGTACTGTGGAGCTTGAGGACTGAACACTGCAGGCAAGGAGCGGCTCCACCTTTGCAGGCATACCGGGAACAGGCGTTAGAGAACACCAGAATCGCTATCCTGGCGGACCTTTGCAGTTGCAGATGGGTGTGGGGAAGGGGAGGAGGACGATTCTCTATACCCCTAATTCCTCACTATATTACAAACCGGCTCCCACCCGAGGGACGCGCGATTCCTTAGCGGACTCAATCCTCCTGTCAACTGCCAGCTTCGGCGTTGGGCCGCAGGAGTACGGGACCATATTGGATCTGGCCTGTCTTGGGGGTACGCACCTGATCAGTAGCAAAGGAAGTGTTCTGGGAAGGAGTTAGGAAGGGAATTGGGAACAGGGGGAGAACAGGGGGAAAGGGACAGGGAGGGACAGGGGGCTGATTAGGTTGAAGACGGAAAAAAAAAGGCGAAACAACTGAAAAAAAGGAAAAAGTCAAAGCTGGGGAAAGACTTGGTAGACACAGGAAGACCTGTGGGCACTTGCAGTAGAATTTGGGAAATTGACAATGGGGGAGGCTGAGAGCAGTGTGAATACATAGGGCAGGGGTGTGATCAGTACGATGCCAAATTAGAAGCACACGGAGTGGGCGTTGGGAACCTGCAATAATGATGAAGGACTCGTGGCTTTTGATGATGTGACTTTTCATAAGGAATGCAAATGCTTAAACATAGATATATCCACGTTGGGGTGGTTTGGGAAGTGTTGGAGACATGAGATAAGTGGGGCCTGCGAGGCTGCTGGGGTCGCCCCCCCTCAAGGAGTGGCCGTTCAGACTGATGTACTCCATTCGTCAACGTTCAGCAGGATTTGAACTCAGGTGTGTATTGCAACAGTTCATGGGTGTACAAACTGAGCTAGGCCCTCAGCCTCTGTTTCGCACCTACCGGGATAGATCTTTGCGTGAGAAAATATAGGATGTATTCACAGGTGAGCTTTCCAGCGTGTGCTTGTACTGGCCTGCATAAAACGGAAAACGAAAAACAACCTACAATCAGAACCCATCTCACCTTTTGCCTTTTGTTCAACCACCTATAGAGTGAAGTTGCTTCAATTTTCGCTCCTTTTTTTCTGGGAAAGAGAAGTAATGGCTTTACAGAGTAGGGAGAATAGTTAGGAAGTGAAGGGCGAAGCTCAGTGTATAAGCAGCGCCTTGCTATGTTCGTGGTCACTTTTGGGGGGGGGCTTTCTTTCATTAGATCAGTGATGGAAGTCTGCAAATGACACAACAGCATCAACATGCAAGCGGATCTAACTCACTGCCTGTTAGTATTCCCATTCCCATATAGGCAGAATTATTATTATTTTTTTTCACTTCTTTTTCCAACACCCACACCCGCCCCTTCTATTTTGGGGGCCACCAGTCCGGTTACTTGTCCGGGTTTCCCTGGCAAGCAAATGATGGAAAACACGGAAGTACAAAGCATAGGCCTTCGAGGGCTCAAGGTCAACCAGGAGACTCCCCTCGGTACCAAGGCATTGCCCCTTCCCTTCTTTCAGGTCAGCCTGGGGTTTAGAAGTGAACTATATGTTGGGTGTATGTAGGACTTGAGCCCTTTTCAGAACTAGAGGACAGAATTTTCTTGGCTCGACTCGGAGGGCTCTTTTAGAAGTAGAGGTCGGGATTCTCTTGGCTCGACCCAGTAAGCCCCGAGGAGGAAAAGACTACCTCTTTTAGTTCGACAAAAGTAACAACAGGGTGGCAACAAGGACCCGGACTGATGCTACCACAATAGAAAGGAGCCAGGACACATAAAAGACCTGCTTTCGTAGTTAAAAAAAAAAAAAAAAGCAAACCAATCATAAGTTCAAATCCTGATGGAATCAGGTGGACGCAATATTGTTAACGGCCACTGCCTTTTAACAGAGAAAGGGGGAACCATCCCCTCTTGTTTCCGATCCATATCCAGATGTCTTTCCCTAACCGTCTTCTCTCATTGCTCTGCAGTTCTCGTCTTGAATCCCCTTCATCCGCATCCCGCATTCTTTCCTCGCAAGAAGGCCTCAGATATATATAAGGCCTCCGGTTAACTCGTAGATTTTATCTACCCCTTTATTTTTGCCTCTCAAAGTATTCGTTTTTCAGTTAAAGCCTGTAGAGCCATTCAATCAGATCCTGAAGCAAATGGTACTTTTGTCTCCAGGAAATCCGTAATTGATGAGAGAGACAAACTTCTAAGTCTACCACTTGACGTATCTCTTCATCATCCACTAGATCTTCTTTTCTTTTTTAACCAGATCTGTGTTTTGATAAACATATATTCTCCTTCGGGACTTATCATCATGTAGGATAGGGTTCAGTGCAGAACGCCTGCCCTCAGAACCACACGTGACAGTTCCCGTCATGCAGCTCACCCCCCAAAACCTTAGCCTTGTTTGTGGGCTCGGGAAGGGAAGCTGACAAACAGCTTCGCTTCGCACCTTCCGACTCGTAATTGTCCGGAATCAATCTCACGTGTAGCTAGAGTATTGATTTCCTGACCTTGCACTGTGCTCAGCCGACGCTTCGCGTCTGATCTGATGCCAGATAAGAGAATCGCAGATATCTGGAAAAAGGCTAGAGGTGTGTCTTGTCTAGCCTGAGCACTTCGTGCCTTCTACGGCCTTAGTGAGCAATAGAACAAAATCATCTGCTGACGTAAAATTTCTGTTCTGCCGAACGAAGGCCTTGCCTTGGCATTTGTTTGTTTCTTGGAGATCCATCAGCTTTGCGCCTCTTTAAGTGAAATTCTTGTCTACACTTATCAGTCTTGGAAAAACCAATATTACAATGGAAGCACCCATCTCTGATAAAAACCAATATTACAATGGAAGCACCTATCTCTGATATAATAAAAAACCTGGTGGTAAAGGAACCAAACCAAAGCTGCCTACAACAGATAGGAGCCTTGACCATATGCGCAAGGTAAAAACAAAAACAAGGGGAGATGGGGGACTTCAAAAACGAAGTCGAGGAAGAGCATGATTGAGGAATGGAGGGGAGTATATGACCTGGTAGGTAGGATAGGGTGAGGAGGGAGGGGGAGGACGAGGGAGGTATGATAAGACACACTTGGGTAGAACGGTACAGAGCAGAATAGGGACTATGGAGCATGAGGAACGAGGAGGGAGGTACACTACGAGAGGGTAAGGTATACAATAGATGACTGCTGACAGCATGGGACATTCACATATATAGCGATGAAAACAGAGAACATTAGCATCACTCCTGCACAAGGATGGCATGCACAAATCACGCAGGAGACTTGGGCTTAATTTCGTCGTCGGAGTAGGAGAAGAAGCAGAAGACAAAAGAAGAAAAGGACAAAGAGGATGCACAGGAAGCACAGGAGGAAGAAGAAGAGGAAGAAGGAGGAGGAGGAGGAAGAGGAGGAGGAGGACGACGAGGAGAAGGGGAGGAGGACGAGGAGTACAGATCCGATACCTGCAGGAACGGCAAGAAAAGAACCATCTGGAGAAAAACTGAGCCGCCTGAAGAAAGAGGGAAGGTTCTCATCATAAAAAAGATGATGCTTTGTTGATACTGCCTGTTGGCAAAAACAAGCTATTAACCCGTCAGCTTGAACTCAGTTACAAATTTGCAATCAGCATTTCCCTCATCCGCATACAATCCCTTCTGTTTCCTGCTGCTTCACGCAAACCTGTGATGTTCAAGATTTCAAATAAGTTATATGTCTGTTTTTTTTTGGGGGGGGGGGAGAGGGGAATAAAATCAAATTGTCTTTCGGATATGATCAACTTTCTAAACTGTTCCAGCTTTTCAAACCACAGAAACACAAAGCGGCCTAGCTCAGTTGGTTGAGCACGTAAGTGGTGCACAGGACGTCGTGGGTTCAATTCCCCGTGGCATCAATTCGATTCCGCACGACCCCCTGTGTCGCGTACTTTGGGTTCACCGATTGTGAAAGTCAGTTTGCCCCGCGTGGTCGGTTGTGGAAGTGTCGCTACCTCACTTCCCAGCGCGCGCCAGGTGTTAGGAGCTTGGGTGCTGCTCCCCACACAGAGCAGAGTTAGGTAGGAATAGACCCGCAACCTTAGGATAGCTTAGGCATTGCTGGTAGAATTAAGGCCGACTCCAAGTATAGAGAAGTTGCTTCCTCCTGAATCGACGTAACCCATTAGGTAGGTAGCTAGGGTGAGGTAGATGCAAGGTTAAAGAAGAAAATACTAAAATTATAAAATAGTGTGGCAAAGTACAGCTTGTCCCCCATATATGAGGAGAAGACAGCTGTATCTTTTATTTTTCTTTAAAAAAAAAAAAGAGAAGTTGTGGGAGGGAGAAGTATCCTCTGCACAGACAAAAACAAACGAAACCGTCCTGCTCTACAAAAAAAAAAAAAAAAAAAAAAAAAAAACGAGAAGAATGGAGAAAAACGAAAAGAGGATGAATTGACGTTGCATAACAGTTGAACTTTATTACTCGTTCCGAAGCATTTCTCTTGGAATTGGTAGAAGTTCAAGAAGTGAGAGACATTGGGCCTTGCTCCACTACACCACACTACACATGCATTTGGATGCTCTCTGGACCTGATACATTCGAAATGTTGGACTCAGCCTGGCTATGGCTTCCTCTTGAGCTTTGTTGCAGATCTTTCGAAGAGATACTCTTGGTGTTGCAGAAGAGTAACTTCTGAGTAATTTCCGAGTTTTCACATATTCTAGCGGGTTGTATTTTTCAGCAACTTGCTTATGTGTCGCATGCCGCTGATCTCAGTCGACGCTGTGATTAGCCTTCGCTCTTTCCAATCGAAAACGGCAGTGGCAACCAGCCAGGAGGCGATCACCTGGTTTGGTGGCCCTGTAGTAGTAGTAGAAATCAGATGATTACCTTACTCTAGCATACTAGTATTGCACGTTAAATTAAGTAGATAGTGCTCACAATATTGTGGAAGACATTCTTCGCCACTCACGTATTGATCCTTGGCGATCACTCTACGAAACAAGAAGCGAAGATCGGACGATCACCAAGGACTGCGAGCTGAAGAACATATTCTAGATGAGCGGAGGGTTCGGCTTCGGYTTCGGAACAGGACCACCTGGCCCGCCCCCAAATGGAGGTGGAGGGGGAGGAGGCGGGTGGAACAAAGGACAAGGAGGACAAGGTGGACTGGGAGGATGGAACGGCAATGGAGGGGGTTGGAACAATAGGAACGGAGGAGGGAGGAACAATGGAAATGGTGGAAACTGGAGCAACGGAGGAGGATATGGGGGAAACTGGAATAATGGAGGTAATGGAGGCAACTGGAACAATGGAGGAGGAAACTGGAATAACAACGGAGGGAACGGGAACAGCGGTGGAAGCTGGAATAATGGAGGTGGAGGACAGAGACGAGGTCCAAAATGCTACAATTGTGGGCAACTTGGACATATTGCAAGAGAATGCAATAATCAACGACAGCCTTTTCAAGGACAACAAGGCAACTACCAAGCTCAGCATACGAAGGACGCATCAAGTAGCTCTAACGCCTTTTCGGAAGCACCAGCCACTGCTACGCTAAGTAAGGACGTGGAAGACTCACTCAAGAGCATGGCCATATTCGTACAGCGACAAATGGAGAAGGAAGAAGAGGAGAAGCAACAGAAGAAGGAAGCTGATGAAAGGAAAAAGGAAACGGAGGAAAGAAAGAGCCGCGAGGGAAGAAGCGAATAGAATAGCCTTGGAGAGAAAGAAGGCGAAAGATCTTAAGGAGGCRAAAAGGAACTGGGAATTCGAGAAAATGCTCGCTAAACAGAAAGAGGCAATAGAGGAAGAATTTGAGCGGAGATTAGAGAGTAGACTGAAGGGGGTAATGATCACTGAGAAGATCGTGAAARCGAAGACGAAGCAGAAAACACCATCACCTGCTAACTCGGACTCTGAAGAAGAAGAGGAAGCACTGCATGATGAGAGATTTGATAAACGAAAAAGACAGGCTGGCCAAACTTCTGGTGGACAAATTAGCCCTGCTGGAACACCTGCAAAAATTGGTCGACAAGAAGCTAATGAGGAACTGCCACCAAGAACCATGGAGGAATGCGACCTGGGTGAAATGCTTAGAGGAAGAGGACGCGTCAGAAAGGAAGGGAATGGGTTCCCTATCCATGATTCTGCCCTGTGGGAAGGCGCTCCAGTTGATGTGGATAGCAAGACAGAAGCGGCCTTTAAGAAGCAAGTACGGAAKTTTSTGACGAAGAAAAGCGTACCTACTATCCAAGAGATGTGTAGGGAAGCAGGCATGGCTTACCGAGGAAGACCCGAAGCTATGGACGAACTCGTTGAGCTCCGWACGATGTACTTCTACAGGAAGCCCCGCACACCACGCCAAGGAGGGATCGTGATCCGTGAACCATCAACCGCRATACGAGCTCCGAGAACACCCTCGACCCAGACTGACCATCTGAATCCGTCAGAAGACTGATATTTGGAATGATCTTAGGCACTACCTCCACGTACGCCACGAGCTTACCGGTAGAAACGATGCACAAACTAAACGAATTAGATTATTAATTGAGAGGATTCTTAGACTCTGCATTGTTATTCTTTCTTGTCAAGGGGAATTAAACTGGGGAAATAAATTCATTGATAGCTGGGTTCACCTTATTACGAACGAAAGGGATAAATGGGAAA